TTGGATGACCTTTCTTGGGAATAGGCATAAATATGGATCTCTTCCAGTTGGTTGGCCAGGTAGCTGTCTTCCAAATTTCTTGGCATAGACAAGTGAGCACTTACATTTGTTGAGACATCTCAATTGATATTCCATCAATTCCTGGAGCCTTGGTATTTGCCAATGCCTTCAGTGCAGCTTGGACTTCTTCCTTCAGTACCATCGATTCCTGATCATATGCTACCTCTTGAAATGGTTGAACGTCAACCAATTGTTTTGGGTATAATGACTCTGTGTATTCCTTCCATCTTCTTTTGATGCTTCCTGCGTTGTTTAATATTTTCCCTATAGACCCCTTCACTATTGCAACTTGAGGCTTGAATTTTTTCTTCAGTTCTTTCAGCTTGAGAAATACGGAGTGTGTTCTTCCCTTTTGGTTTTCTATCTCCAGCTCTTTGCACATGTCACTATAATACTTTGTCTTCTCAAGCCACCCTTTGAAATCTTCTGTTCAGTTCTTTTACTTCATCATTTCTTCCTTTTGCTTTAGCTACTCAACGTTCGAGAGCTTAACTTTCAGAGTATCTTCTGACATCCATTTTGGTCTTTTCTTTCTTTCCTGTCTTTTTAATGACCTTTTGCTTTCTTCATGTATGATGTCCTTTATGTCATTTCACAACTTGTCTGGTCTTTGGTCATTAGTGTTCTATGTTTCAAATCTATTCTTGAGATAGTCTCTAAATTCAGGTGGCAAATTCTCAAGGTTGTACTTGGGCTCTCGTGGACTTGCTCTAATTTTCTTCAGTTTCAACTTGAACTTGCATATGAGCAATTGATGGTTTGTTACGCAGTCAGCCCCTGGCGTTGTTCTGACTGATGATATTGAGCTTTTCCGTCATCTTTTTCCACACATGTAGTTGACTGATTCCTGTGTATTCCATCTGGCAAGGTCCATGTGTATAGTCGCCGTTTATGTTGGTGAAAAAACGTATTTGCAATGAAGAAGTCGCTGGTCTTGCAAAATTCCATCATGCAATCTCTGGCATCATTTCTATCATCAAGGCCACATTTTCCAACTACTGATCCTTTTTCTCTGTTTCCAACTTTCGCATTCCAATTATCAGTAGTAATCAATGCATCCTAATTTTATGTTCGATCAATTTCAGACTGCAGAAACTGGTAAAAATCTTCAATTTCTTCATCTTTGGCCTTAGTGGTTGTTGGGTAAGTTTGAATAATAGTCGTATTAACTGTTCTTCCTTGTAGGCATATGGATATTATTCTATCACTGACAGCGTTATACTTCAGGATAGATCTTGTAATGTTCTTTTTGACAATGAATGTAACGCCATTCCTCTTCAAGTTATCATTCACGGAGTAGTAGATCATATGATTGTCTGATTCAAAATGGCCAATACCAGTCCATTTCAGCTCACTGATGCCTAGGGTATCGATGTTTATGCCTTCCACTTCATTTTTGACAATTTTCAATTTTCCTAGATTCGTGCTTTGTACATTTCACGTTCCAATTATTAATGGATATTTGCAGCTGTTTCTTCTCATTTTGAGTCGTGCCACATCAGCAGATGAGGGTCCTGAAAGCTTGACTCCATCCATGTCATTAAAGTCTATGATGGTTAAGATTGTGTGTCAACTTGGCTGGGCCATGATTCTCAATGTTGTAATGTAATCACTCCCATGATTGAATATACCGTGAGTGGCCAATCAGATGAAAGGGAGTCTCCTTGGGGGTGTGGCCTGCATCTGTATGTAAGCAGACGTTCTGGTTTTTGCTGTCTCTGTATCCTGCGCCTGCTTCTTGTCATCTCATCTCCCGTTCTTGGGACTTGAGCTGTCAGCTTATCTGCCGAACCTGGGATTCGTCCATCTGCACAGCCTGTGAGCGGGAGCCCTGCTCTCCGACCTGCCAATCTTGGGCTTGCCAGCTTCTGCAGCTGTGTGACTTGGGAGAGGCCTTTACCCTGATCCACGGACTTGGGACTTTCTAGCCTCTAGAATCACGTGAGCTGTTTCCTTGATATAATCTCTCTCTATATATATTTATACACTTTACTGGTTTTGCTTCTCTAGAGAACCCAGCCTAAGACAAAGTCTACTCTACTTTGAGGAGGCAGCTCATCCCCAGTCATCTTTTGAGTGCCTTCCAACCTGGGGGGGCTCATCTTACGGCACTGTATCAGACAGTGTTCTGCTGCTATTCATAAGGTTTTCACTGGCTAATTCTTTTCAGAAGTAGACCGCTGGGTCCTTCTTCCTAGTCTGTCTTAGTCTAGAAGCTCAGCTGAAACCTGTCTGCCATGGGTAACCCTGCTGGTATCTGAATACCAGTGTCATAGCTTCCAGCATCACGGCAACACGCAAGCCCCCACAGTAGGACAAACTGACAGACACTTGGGGGGAGGGTAGCACCCTAGACCTACTGAATCAGAAATTCTGGATGATGCCTCCGATTAGTGTTTCAGTAGGCCCTCCAGATAATTCTGATGTACCTACAGTTTGAGAACCATTGGACTAGGAGGACCAATGCCTTCAGCTCCCTCATCTTGGAGAAAGGGGCCTTCTTTCTTCTCTCATGCCAGAGGGAGCACAAGAGTGATGGGGAGCTGGGACACATCCTGCTTTTCCTTGCATTCAAAACCTGAGCCTCTTTAAGGAACCCTTCCTCAGCCTTTTTCCCCCCACTTCTTCTTCTGCTTCCTGCTCCCGGGTCCCCCTTCCTGTCTTCTCCTGCCTGGTAACTTTCCCCAGGATCCTAGTTCATTCCAGTTTCTGTCGCTAGATTTTCAGGCCGAGTTGCTCCCAAACCGGCCTGTTTTTTTTTTTTTTTTTTTAAATCAGATTCAAATGGGGGAAGATTTTTAAAAAACACGTGATTCCCGGAGATTCCAAAAGCACTGCTTTTTGAGAGTGAGATCCTAGAATTTGTATTAAGCTTCCCAGGTGATTCTCCCTTTAATCTCTGGGTTGAGGGTCGTACACGATTTCCCACGTCTGACACCCGTAAGCGTGTAGACCATCCGGGCCTCGGCCAGGCCTGACCAGCCGGAGGGAATCAAGCCCGAAGCTGGAGAGGAACCAGTGGGGAGATGGTGTTTTTAGGTCTCCAAGAAGACTCAGACCCCGTAGGGATGAGACGGAATCGGAAAAAAAAACTTAGACGGAAGAGGATTTAGGATTTTCTCCAAATACTAAATTTCTGGTTGCTGTCTTATTAACGGTCGGAAAACGGCCAGAAGCGCCTGCCAGTTGCACCTTGGAGTCGAAGGGGTCTAAGGACTGTGCTGGTGCATGGAGTTAATTGGTTTCGTAGGTAAACCCAAACCAAACTCACTGCGGTAGACTGGATTCCGACTTAGTGTCGCTATGAGTTCGCAGACCAACTACCCCTTAAAACGCTTTCCTTCTGCTCTTTTCATTCAGGGGAGGATTCTTCCTGGAAGGGGGCGCTATTATCGCTGATGCTTCCTAGCTCCTCTCTTGCCAGGACGCATCGCCGTGGTTCTCTTTGAGACCTGGACGCTGCCGGGCTTCCCCGCCCGGGTGCTGGGCGCTGGGGTCGACGAAAGCGGTGGCTGCGACCACCAGGAATAGATCTGCAATTCCCTTCTTGTCTTCTCTCTTACTCGTCCTAAATACCCGCGGCACACTTAGGGTTTTCTTCTTTTTATCCTCTTGCCTTATACTCGCGGCTTTCTGGCAACTTTTTTATGCAGAGAGGAGAGACACCCTAAGGAGGGAGAAACAAGACAATGTTTTAATCTGGGCCTCTTCCTGGGGGCGGCCAGACAGGACTGCCTCCCCTCCTCCAGGCGGATGCCGTCGAGCAGACGTCCGAGAGGATGATGACTCACAGAGGGATTTAGAACAGAGATTTGCAGTCTAACATTCAGTTTTTCTTCCCTTGGAGTAACCGCGGGACAGGATTCAGTATAGAAGGTCCAAAAATTGAATTTGACGGAATGGAAATTCTCGAGCAACTATTAAAAAAAAAATGGTGGTGACAGGTCATAGAAATCTCTCTGAGCGCGGTATTGCGTCAGGGGGTGTAGCTCAGTGGTAGAGCGCGTGCTTAGCATGCACGAGGCCCCGGGTTCAATCCCCGGCACCTCCAGTTTTGCTCTCATGCTCCTGGCTTAATCTTCATTTGTAAAAACAGGTTTGCTGCTCGCCTCCTTGCAGTCATTAACTCACACAGAAAACTATTTGACTCTGTTTTGCTTTTAATACCTATTCATTTCTACTCCAGGTCTTTGAAACCACTCTGGGTAGCTGCGTCAACAAGCGACAGACAGTAAAAGGGGCCGGGTAAGCGACAACCAGCTCAGAATACCAGAACTGTAAAAAACAACCGAGGCACCAAATTAACAAACTCGATCATATTTGGTTACAATTCCCAGTATTATTCAGGAGTAAGAAACATATAAAGAAGAAAAACATGCGAGGTCCAGAGGAAATTTTCTTTAGGTCCCTTCGTTTTTTTGAGCTTTTCCTGGGTCAAGAAACAGACCGGAGGAGAGAAAAACTTTTCCCACGAATTTCCCTACCACTCTCTTACCGTCGCAACCTTCCTCTTCCTCTTCTACCCCTCCTTCTCTGTCCCTCTCTCCCCTATTTTTTATGCATTTCTTTGATTCATTGTTATTATTCCTGCCTTTAATTAGAGTAACTCTTAGGTTAAAAATGATGTAAGCCTTGGATCCGGATAGAAGTTTCTTATTGCGTTAAATAAGTTCAAGCCTTCTTATCTGACTGACTAGAAGCTGCACTTGTCTAATTTTAAAAGATGAGTTAAGGAGGGAAATCAGAAAATAAAGATATACACCCTTATCCTCATCACTTCCCACTCCCGACTTCATCCCACATTTTGAAGGACTTCACACATGCGTATAAAACACCTCAACACACACCTGAAAGCTTCCTAGCACCTCTGACTAAGAGCCACTCCTGGGCTACCTGTCAGGCATAGAGGCATGCACACTAATGGCATGGTCTGCCCTCAGAAGGATGCATCCAGCAAAGAGGCATGTGCAGGCCCTGGAAGGAGGTTCAGGGCTGTTTGGGCAGGGAATTTTGGGAACCCAGATTATTTAGAATGTGGACTCCATGCTCATAGGGAGATACATGGCCAGGAGAGGGCCCAGGTCATAAGCACCTCTTGTCCAGGATTAAGCATGGTACTGGGTATATGCCCCAGGTTTAAGGGCATATTTGTGTTTGATAATGCATGAAGTGGTCCATTCCAATGTAGTTCTAAGACTAACCTTCCATGTTGTCTTTTCCAAAATACCCAGTTTCCTGACTCATGTGTGTGTGAATCTGGTAGTCTCTTTTGGAAATGCAATTTGTACCTGCTGGACATAGGACTGTATACCTGACATCAGAGTTCAAAAAATACCTGAAAAACTAGAATGTAACAAGGTAGAGTTGGCCAGAGGAAGAATCATTCTAAACTTCATGGATTTCTCTGTACAATGTTATGTGGTAATGGTTTATGAGGATGTTATGACATAGATCATATTATCATTAGGACTAAAGGTAGAACTTTAGGCTAAAAAAAGTTCTTCTGACAATTTGAAAATGTTGATTTAAAAAACAAACAAACATGAGTTTGTACTACCTTCCCATAATTTGGGGAATGATAAGGACAATGAAGTGTATGTTTTAAGGGGAGAACTTTAAGAATTTCGCCTCTAAAATGGATTTCTCTATCAATAAAGAGTACTAAAGGTATCTCCCAAGTGGAAAATAAAATCTGTATAATTCTTAAAATATTTATTATTATTATTATTTGATAACAGTTAGAACTGTCTCACTAGTCACATTTTAAGTGCTCAATAGCCACAAATGCTAATAGCTACAGTTTGGACAGCACAGATACAGAACATTTCCATCATTGTAAAAAGCTCTATTAGGCTATGAGAATTAGTTTTTTTTTTTTTTTTTTTAAGAGAAAGCTTAAATCCAACAAAAATTACAATTTCACTTTTAAAATATTATTCAAATATACTCAATTTTTTAAAAAATTTGGGCAACTAGAAGAATCAAATATACTCAATTTTTTAAAAAATTTGGGCAACTAGAAGAAACCCATTTACAAATATCCAAATGGTCCATGAGGTGAGAAATTCAAGCGTTACCATAGCTTTAGTTTTTGAGAGGATTGTAATAAGTATAGATTAGAAAAGATCAATCTTCTCACAGAACTTTTTGGGTAAAATTTGTCTAACACTAATTTTTCAAAATTTGGATCAATTGGTCTTTGTCATTATGGGTGCTTTCGTGTAATATAAGCATCAAAACTCTGGAGGATGACTATGGCGCCACCAAATGGTCATCTTGGGAACACCAAAGACATTTACTGTGTATGAGTTTGGGGATGGCCAACATCTTTTTTGTAACTGTAGATTGTTGTTTTTGTGTATGTTTTTCTGGGTTATTGAAATCATATTGTGAACCTGTTTTTGTATTACCACTAGTAGTTTACTAGGGAATTTTCTTTAGCCTCAAAAGTTCTAACTTCATATTGGCTTCAATTAAGTAATTTTTCAGATATTGATTTTCCTTTAATAAATCTTTAATACTTTTCCATTTTTGATTGAGGTGCCCAAGGAAGTTGAAAAAACCCTCTGTTTCTATAGCATAGCATTCAAAAATTATAAACAATCTGAAGCCATAGGTACTCTCAGTATAGATATTAACTTTTAAACCTTTTGCAAGTTGTCAGGTTCAAGTGGGAATTATTAGTGTAGTCATCTGAGTAGATGTTGGTAAAGGTGTAGTTTCCATTTCATGGCATTAAAAAGTTACAGCATATTCAGCAAAAAGTATACCTTGAATTTTAAAAAAATATGAACCATCAACCAATCAGGGTTGTCTAAAGGAATATCAGTCAGTACATGGCAGTCAGAATATCTTCCTCCTATCTCTATTTGATAAAGGGGTCAAAGGTGCTCATTTGTATACCAGTTAATATCAAGAGTTAATTCTGATTATCTCAGTCATCTCCATCAGCTTCTAAATACACTTATGCCTGATCTTTTACCTCTGAAAAGTTTGGCAGCCAGCACAACTAACAACCCCCTCTAGCCTGGGATCCTAATAAGGTTCTGTTTTAGAATTTCCACTTTTACATATTCTTGCTCATATGTCATCCATTCTTCATGGCTTACAAAAAGTAATGAATCAGAGGAAACTTTTTTCTCTGTCTCGGTATTTCCTTTATCCTCTCCTCTGGACTGTGGGATTGCACTAAATTCATAAATTGTTTTAGGGAGAACTGAAAATTAGATGAAGTAGAGTCTTCCTCTATAAGAATATGGTATGTTTTTACAATTTTTAAATATATGTTTGTGACTTTAAAGAATATATTATCGTTTTGGATATTTCTTGGTATATAGAAGTTTATACCCAGGAGTTTTTGTTCTCTCTTTTTAAATTTTCCTTCCCTTCAATCCTCTCCATCAATTCCTATTCTTTTGAATGCTTTTAGCATATTGAATAGATTTTCACATTGTCAAAAGCCTTTTCTGCATCTATGGAGATAATTATGTATGGTTTTTCTCCTCAGATCTAGCAATATAATGGGTTATATCATTGGCTTTCCCAATAGTGAGTGATCTTTACATTCCTGAAATAAACCCCACTTAGACATCATGTATTATTATTTTTAATGTGTTATTGGAGTCTGTTTGCTATTAATTTTATTTAAGATTTGGGCATTGAATTTCATATAGGAAATTGGCCTGTAGTTTTCTTTCTTTCTGTTTTTTATAGTTCTACTTTCTTCTAACCCATTATTTTCAGAGTTTATCTTTCTTAACCTTTCCTTCTGCATCCTTTTATTTTGTTGTTTTTCTTTTGTTTTGAGCTGAGTGTTTAATTCATTTATTTTTATAGTTATTGATATAGATACTTAATGGTATGTTATTTCTTCTGATAAATATTTTAGCTTTATCCCACAGATTCTGTTATGTCAAGTTTGCATTTTTATCATTTTTAAGAAATTATGAAAATAAATTTAGTATTTCCCCCTCTGACCCAAGAGTTATTTTATAGTATGTTTTAAAATTTCCAAGTGAGGACTTTAAAAAAAAATTGTTATTAATTTCTAGTGTCCTTGCCTGATGGTCAGTGAATGCTGTTTTTATTGTTTCTATTCTTTGAAACTTATTGAGACTTTCTTTGTGGCCTAAAATGTGGTCAGTTTTCATTAATGGTTCATATGTACTACACAAGAAAGTGGGGGGAAAAAGAATTACTGGGCCCAAGCACCCTCACCACCCTTTCTCCCCTCCTTGATCATTCAGCATTGTTGGAGTGAGGTGATCTATATTTTTGTGAAAATCTCAATTCATTCTTCTAGTATGAGAACCTCTTCAGACTGGTTTAAAGCATTTATTCAAGTACATAGAATATACATAGAATGTATAGATGTATATATTCATTTTTACTGACATTCTTTTATCTCTGATTGGAGAAGGATTATATATATACTATTTGTTTTGATATCCTTTTCATCTCTTGAGGATTATTTACTGTACCACCTTATTATGTCTTTCTGCCTATATAAGTGACTTCCCCAATGTAAGCTG